CAGTCTGCAGATACTCCAGTTAAGATGAGATGTGAGGAAGAACCAAAGTATGTACCTCCACCTCCCAGACCTCCTCCAGTTCCATTCCCTTCACGACTTGTGCAACAAAAAGAGGCCAGCCAGTTTAAGCGCTTCACGGACATGATAAAGAAATTGGAGATCACAATACCTTTTCATGAGGTAATCACTCAAATGCCCTCCTATGCCAAATTTCTTAAGGATATTCTGGCTAGGAAGAAGACAGTGGAAAAGGAGACAGTAGCATTAACCAAAGAGTGCAGTGCTGTTTTTCAACATGATTTGCCCCGTAAGATGGCAGACCCAGGTAGTTTCTCCATTCCTTGCAAACTGGGCAATCTCTTTATTGAACAGACGTTATGTGATCTAGGAATAAGCGTAAAGTCTAATGTCATTGTCGATCTTCAAGAGACTAGGTGTGGGTGAACTCAAACCCATACAAATGATATTACAGTTTGCAGATAGGTCGACCAAACGACCTGCAGGTATACTAGAGGATATGTCACTTAAGGTGGGTGATTATTACATACCTGTCGATTTTGTGGTTCTTGACATGGATGCAGATTCAAGCATGCCTATCATTCTAGGGCGTCCCTTTCTTAACACAGCAGATGTCGTCATCCACGTCAGAGCGGATCGTCTTACTATGTCCATTGGAGACGAGAAAATAGAATTCATGCTCAATCAAGATCACAATCCAGACGAAAGTGTGAAATCTATTTGTTCAGTTTACAAGCTCAAAACGCCTAAGAACCAGGACCACATACACAAGGTTAAGAGAGGACCAGATTCAGATAGGACAAAAGTTAAGAAAGAAGCTAACATGGTTGAGCAGGTCACTAACTCATCACACCATCGTGAGAACTGGCTCGAATCTCATGCATCACCACCAGATTTTTCTCTACTAGGTACGCCTCATTTCTCAAACTCTTTTTGTTGTAGAGATGCTCTTAAACTTCATGATCCAGTTTGGCAGAAGATCGATAATCTTCGCCCATTAGACCGATCCGATAGTTGAGAGAGTTTGGTCAAGCTAAAGACCCTAAACAAGCGCTCCCGAGAGGCAACTCGAGTTCTTAGGTTAGTTTTCTTTTCTTTCTGTTTATTTTTGCATCGGATATTGGTTTGTGTCTCTTATCACCAGGTTGAGTTCTAATGAAGAATTGAGGAGGCGAGGAAGCTAGCTATGCGATAGACGTAGGCAGACTTAAGCGCGAGTGAACGAACATCGCGAGCTAAGTATATATTCTTTTTCCTTCTTGATTTTCTTCTCTTTTGACTCATTTTATTGGTTGCCTCTACTAGACGAGAATTGACACCGAGGACAGTGTCCAGTTCAAGTCTGGGGAGGATTCGTCTAACGCCAAACCATATCCATATAGAGTAGTGTTGCATGCATTTTTCTCTTTTATTTTCACTTTTTAGTTGCATGTGCATATAAGATGCATTAGGATCATATAGTTTGTTGTTAGGGTTATGCATTTACATATAGTATTTAGGACATGTAAGATCACGTGCATAAAACCGTTTTGAGTATTGATGTGATGATCTATGGCATGAGAGAGTAGAAACGTCTTGAAAACATTGTGATCCCTTGAACGTGGTTATGTTTTGTTGAATTGATTGCTTGACCTTTAGGATTTTCTAGAATGGCTTGTGGGATAGAAATCGTTGGTTGGAACTCATGGGACCGATGGTTTCTAGCCAAGAGAAACTCTATAAGAAACTTTCTCATGTTTTCTCAAATCGGTAAAGTCTATTATCAAATGCATTTTTATTTCTTTATGTGCAGAAAAAGATAGTGAGCATCTCTACACTCCGCTGTCATTATCTCGTCAACGAAAATCGTTCGAGGACATGAGTGCATCAATTAAATGGTTCGGGTCTAAGTTGTGGGTCGGGTCATCCAATGAATAAAATCGACAAAAAGAGCGATTATGAACCCTTCAACTTCAACGTCTCAGGAACCCGAGATGCTAGCAAAAGAAAAAAAATCTAGCTAGATGAAAGAAAAAAATAGAGAAGAAGAAAAAGAATGAATACCGAAAGCGTAGACTAGATACGATTAGGTAGAATGGCGTGATAGGTTCGAGAAACATGCTTGATAGATGATTGAAATTCTTGGATTGGTTCTTGGTAGCGGTATAGATCCCGTAGCTAGGAAAGACTATCCTTTAGAGAGGGAGATCATACTAGATAGACTTGATCATTGTTCACGGGGATCTAGGTCAGATAGAGGTTTCGCTCTCGATTATCATTTTGAGTTATGTCATTGTCTCGCCCTCCTTTCAGACCGCTTTTCACGGAATATTTGCTCGAGGACGAGCAAAGGTTTAAGTCTGGGGGAGTTTGATAACATGTATTTTGGTGACATTTTGATATAGGATGTCTAGTGCCTTTTACTCGGTTTTGCATATTTATAGGCATTCTAGAGCATATTTGGTCTCGACATTGCTTGGTTGCTTTCTTTGTGTCAAAACAGGTATTCATGCATAAAAGAGAGCAAAATGAGTGGAAAACATGGACTACGGAACATCACAGACGAAACGGGAACATTTGGAGTTGTTCCGGGGAAAAACACGAAGCCTAAAAAGTCAGATCTTATAAGTCTAATAACTTCCATTATATAAGTCCAAATTCTACGTTCTCTATCTCATTGGAAAGCTCTCTTCAATATCTACGCAAGACACTAAGATCGCACAAATCCGACATTGGAACAGAAAGTTATGAGCAAATCTGTCAAGCATGTTCGAGTTGAAGAATCGACACGGACCGTGTTGCATTCGACACGGCTGTGTTGTGTCCGTGCTGAAAAAAGTGAAGTTTTGCTCAGAGAATTGACACGGACCGTGTTGTCATTCGACACGGCCGTGTTGATTCAAACTCGCCTGTGTTCAGTCCATGTCTAAAGTGCATATTTTTAACAGAGAATTGACACATACCGTATTGCATTCGACACGGCCGTGTTGCATTACGGGAAAACTTCCTATTTTGCATCCGGACTTCCGTTTTCAGCAAAGGAAGAAACCGAGCCGCGAAGCCAATAAAGAGAGGACGTCTTAGACTTCAGAAATCATCGAGAGATCACAGGAGAAGCCAGAGAACTCGAGAGAGAATCAAGACGGAGTTTTTCGGGAGCAGAGATTGAAGAATCGTCGTCGAGAGATCGCTGCGAGTCTTTTTTATCTGTTTCTATGTTTCTTCTCAGACGGAGTTTTTCGGGAGCAGAGATTGAAGAATCGTCGTCGAGAGATCGCTGCGAGTCTTTTTTATCTGTTTCTATGTTTCTTCTCATTGATTTGAACTCGTTTGTTGTTATGGGTAGTGAGTAGTCGTTTCACTGTGGCTAGGGATTTAACCTTGTAGGGATTTATTTAGTTTTTATTTTCCGAGACTACGTTATCGATACTCGTCGGTTTGATTGAATTGAGTTTATTGCTTTTGATCTTCTTGGCCAGTTGATTGATTGATATTAGATTCTGATTGACAAAGAGAGTTGGAATTAGATTCGGAATGAATTCATTGAATGAATTGATTAAGACTATTGAAAGATAGGTTAACCGGTTTAGTAACTGTGATAGTGATTGTTAATGCGTTTGATATTTTAATCTATTAGGTTGAGAGATCGATAGGTTAAATTATTGGATAGTTGATTTAGGATTTGAGAGAGCCAAATCTGATATTAGAACTTGAGATCCCCGATTAGAGTTCGATATTCATAGATTCTCCATCCTTAGAAACAATCTCTGCGCGTTAAGATTATCCCGAACCTACGGTGATTTATCTATCTGATTTTACTTAGTTAGTTTATTGCTTTATTTTCGATATTCACATACTTCGTTCCATATTTTCTGATCTAATTCTTGGTTGAGTCTTGTTCCTAGAGTTAACTATTCCCTGTGTTCGACCCTGGTACTACAGTTGATCCGTATCCTTGCGGTATTCGTTGTATCTAGGTTTTTATCACTTGAACATTATTTCTATACCTAGATTTTCGTTATCAGGTATTTCAAAGGCTCGCCGGGCAAGGGGATTTGAATGACTAAGAACAATCACACCACCATCGTCGGCTACTATGACGCGGATTGAGCCGGTGACAAAAGCTATCGCAAGTCAACTAGCGGCTATTGTACTTTCCTTGGCGGAAACTTGGTGACTTGGCGAACTAAGAAGCAATCCATTGTGGCTAGGTCGAGCGCCGAAACTGAATATCGAGCCATGGCCAACACCACTTCCGAACTCATGTGGCTACGCACACTTCTCTCCGAGCTTGGTATCTCTTCTTCAACAACAATACCCTTACATTGCGACAATCAGGCAGCCATCCATATCGCAACGAATCCAGTATTTCATGAACGTACTAAGCACATCGAAGTGGATTGCCACTTCGTTCGGGAGAAGGTTATAAACGGTCTCATTTCTCTCACATACACACCGAGCAAAGATCAACTCGCGGACATGTTCACCAAGGCAACCACCAAGGACACGCTTCACACTCTCTTGTCCAAGCTTGGTATGCTCGATCCTCACATTCCAAGCTTGAGGGGGAATATTAGTGGACATGGGCTTGATACGTCACAGACCCAAGAACGCCAAAACTCAAGCTCCACCGATTCTCCAATACAATCTGCAATCTCGGTGTAATATCTCCAGATCAAGAAACTTCCTCTCTTTGCAAGATTCTGATCTCCCTCTAATCTCTCTTCCCTTCACGATTTTCCTCTTATGCTTCACTTTCCTTTTTCCTTTTATCCTTATTTCCTGTTTCCTCTCTGTTTCTTATTGATTCTTGACTGTATATATGTACATCTTGTCAAATTGAAGAAATACACATACTGATTATTTTCGAATCCTCTCTTGTCTTAGTCTCTTGACCTGATTTCCTATATGGTATCAGAGTTCCTATATATATATATATATATATATATATATATATATATATGTGTGTGTGTGTGTGTTTACTAATCGACACATTTGCTAACCTTTGAAGCGTCACATCTGCCATCGGCGGCTTCATAGGGATAGTTCTCTTCAGTGGTGATCCCTCCATTACGTTTAATGAACTCGAAGGCGATCTCCATTAGACCTCCGTTGCAACCTTGGTTCTGGTAAGTGTCACAATCAACGAGTTCTTGTTCAGACAATGAAACCAGTTTCTTTGTCTTGATCTGATTGATTCCTTCTACTGCTGCAACTGTTGAGAATGCCCAGCAACTCTCTGGTAACAATATATATATATATATATATATATATATATATATAGTATCCAAAACATCAGATTCATATACTGTATAAGATCGTTCCTTAGGGTTTGACGATTTCTTTGCAAAGATTTAAACTTTTTTTGGACCCATTAAACTTGGCCGAACATATATATCAAATCAAGTAATTCCGGGAATTTGTTTGTACACAATGAGATCTATACCGTATATTTATATATACCCTATATACATTCAAGTGATTCACCACATAACCAATTTGAAAGTTAAAAGACACTCTTTAAAAGGGTAAGGTTTAAGCAGCTTTTCAATGGGGGGTTTCGTGTGAAGAAAGTTATAAAATAGAAAGTTATAGAATCGTTTGAGGTCATCTAGATCGTGATTTCTGATACGGTTCAAGCCGTTTGTCAGAAAGAATGTTCTGTTCTTTATTCACATACGAATCTAGACCTAATTTTTTTTTGATAAAAAAATTAGGTCTAGACTCAAGCCTATAGATGATAGATTCAAATTACAATATGCAGAGTTTCCATATGAGAAGATATGCTATATATCCTCATTAATTTCGGTTCTTGTAATCGGGTTTTCGAAGAAAATAGATTATTTCCGATCAAAGTTTATAGATGATAGATCGAGAGCACGGCCGGGTATATCTATCGATTTCCTGATTTTCCTACGCAAATCTTATCGAAGAACATTGTTGCTTAGGTTCCAATCAAAACAAAGAGGGTTTCTTACCACACTGGCCCTGGTTCTTGACCTCAGTAACAGCTCCTTCCGCTCTCCAATCGACGGACACCGGAGTTTTCGTCACGTTCTCGTACATGAACCTTCCGGACCCGAGTTTCGGCCCATGAAACATCCGATGATGCTTCACGTTGGAACCTGCGTAAGCGTTCACGAACTCGTGGAGAGTGAGATCGGCGAACTTGTTGAGCTTGAGCTTGTAGGGTTTGTTCTTCTTGTTGGAGTTGTGGACATGCATCACGTTGTATCTGAACACGTTGAATCTCTTCTCTCTCTCGTGTAGGCTCCGAGGAACGGAGTGGTGGCTCCTCCATCTCTCGTAGAGTTTCCACAAGCTTTCCTCTGTCTCCAACTCTTTCTCGTGGAAATCGAATCCATGAGCAGCTTGGGTGAGGAAGATTGACGAGAGAAAGAGGATTAAGACAAGTTTCTTCATCTCTTTTTCTTCTTCTTTTTTGGGTTTTTGATTTATTTTGGGTTTCAACGTTTTTGTTAAAAGAAGTTGATATTTGGAGAGGTGATGGTGTTTGCAATTTATAGGCGGATGATTTAGGATACCGAGTATTAGTATAATTTAACTACAACAGCATTATAATTTACATTTCATGGAACCCGAACTTTTATTTTGAAGATTATATGTACATATACACGATACATTGGGTCAAATACAAGTATCAAATAATTAAATAGCAATATGTGCAAAACAGATGGAATATATAGCAACGAATGTTTGAATGTAAGGGTTTATAAAAATGATGGGTGTATCATACAAATATGGATACTCTATAGTTTTTACGATGTCAAATATATAATCTTAGTATCCAACACCCAATTTTATTTTATTTATTTTCCGATACTTTTGTTTTTTTGCCCATCTTCAACGGATGCAAATTGATGTGCTCTTTCATCATCTGGAAAGTATGACATCAACTTATCCATATGATTATCGTACGTGCATTTCTGAAATTTTGTTTTTTTTTTATTTGAATTTTTGTTTTGTTTTAAAAAAAACTTATATTTAAACGTTATATATGTTGAATTTTGATCTGATTTAAATTCTATTTTTATAAAAACAAAAATATTGATTTTTTTCTCAAAATAATCGGTTTTCATTTTATCTCTAATAGCTTAATATTCGATTTTAAATAAAATTATAACCAGTTAAGTTTATATTATATTGATTTTAAATATGTGTAGAGGATTTGCCCTCCGATTCCTCACAGAACACTCCGATCTCAACCCCTCGTGTGCAAGAAAAGAGAGAGAGATGCGAGACAGAGTTACGAGTTCAGTACCGAGTCCTAACACTCGGTACCTACGTCTCGGGAAGAGGAAACAGCGTTTGTCGCTAGGGTTACAGCCGGAAAACACACCGGAAACTGATCGGAATCAGTTTCTCAACACAGAGCAAGAGAGAGAGAACCTAGAGCCACACAACCGAAGAATCCAGAAAAAGTTACACGGAAATGAGAACCCCTTAGGGTTTCATAACGCGTCTCCTCCAAAATGACGATGCTGCCCCTCCGTCCTGTTGGAAGCCCCCCTCTCCATCCAAGGCTTTTGAGAGCCTCTAGTTCACACCAAGGTTTTTACTGAAGACGTGTCAACAAATCTCCACCTTCTTCCGGAAAAACCTGCAACAGAAAAAAACTACGCCACCGAATCTGTACCCTTTGTTTCCCTTTTACTTCCATTTAAACTCCACCTCCCGGCATGATCCAAGGCGCATTGGAACACCGTTATTAGAGGAGTTCTTACCGAGCGTGTCAAAAAACACGTCTCAGCGTGACACGACGCACCTAACCTACCCAAGCGAGTGTCCCCCGACACTTCCGCTTCCGAAAGTTACCTAAGACCTAGACTAGTATGACTCCCTAGACCGTCTAAGTGACCCCCTCCGGTGAAGTCTATACCTCACCAATGGCCCCTCGAGGGTCACGCCCCGACATCTACCCGTCCCCCGAGTCTATCCCGACTGCCCCGAGACTAACCTTGAGTCATACTAACACACCTAACTCTTGATCCCCGTAAAGATCAAGCGACCTATGACCTCTACCCCGGACCCCACCTACCGACTAAGGTTCCCCACGGGTTTTTACCCCGTGAAGACCCCCTAGTCGACCTATAGAAACTCTACCGAAGGCTCGGAACACGTGCAAGCACGTGCTCCACCCCGAGAGGAAACGCCCCTAGCGCTAATACCCTCACCGACTCTACCCGGTGACCCGGCATTCCCTCGCTCGCCCCTTCCCCTGAGCTTCCTACCCGAGGTAACTCCACCTAGACGTGGAGACCTCACCTCCGAACCTCCACCCGAGGAGTAGTCGGAGCATACTAGAAGTACCTCCGAATCATACTCCTGAACCGAGGCTACTACCCCCTTACCCTCGGTCTCCTCCTTCGCCCTCCGGGACCTACACTCCTTCTTATAATGTCCCTTCTTGCCGCAATACCAACACTCCACCTGGTCTTTGGCCTTCTTCTTCCCGCCACCCGATTTCTCGGGTTTGCCCTTGACCACTAATCCTTCCCCCGTACCCCGAGTAAGGGTACCCTGAGCTAGAAGCTCTAGCTCCTTCATCCTAGCTGCGGCCTTCACCTCCTCCACCGAGATAGTAGCTCGGGAATATTTCAGGACTTCCCTCAGCTGCTCATAAGCAGGAGGTAAGGAGTTCAGCAGATAAACTGCTTGATACTCCTCCTCTACCTTCACATTTAGGCTGTGAAGGTCGGACAATAGTTTCTGGAAAATGTCTAAATTCTCCTCTATTGTCCTAGAGCTGTCCATCCTAAACCCTGACACCCTCTGCATGAGGTACATCCTATTGGGGAGAGATTGCTCTATGTGCAACCGCTCTAGTTTCCTCCAGATTCCGAAGGCCGTCCTTTCGGATATGACCTTCCTTAGAACCTGATCCGCTAGAGCAAGCACTATGAGGTTCCTAGCCCTTCTACTCCTTTCTTGTCTCTCTTTGAGAGCCGGAGTGCCCGATCCCTTAGCCCCGGGTCCTAGTGACCCGGTGGAAAGAGACGTAAGACCTCCCGAATTCTCGGTTTTCCGAGCTGGAGTTTGTGGGCTCCCCTCATCAGCAACCCCCCATGTAGATGGATCATCCTCTAGTGTGTCCCCTAACCCTAAGATCTCTAAGCTAATGGACATCTTCTCCTTCCATAAGGAGAAGTCTCCCTTGCCGTCGAACTTCTCGACGTCAAGGCCGCGATACAGAGGGGCAGACATCACTAATAGGAAACCTAATCTCTAACCCGAGGATGCACTAGACCTACCCAGAACGAAACTAACCTGGGAATGACTAAACCCGACCCTAGGAGCACCTATAACCAGACCTAAGGAGTAAGACCGATCCTAAGAGGACCTAAACCTAGGTATTTTTCAACCTACCAGACCTAATAGACTCTAAACCTGCCTACCTAAGACCTGATTACGTCTAATCAGACCTACCCCAAGGCTAACACTGACCTAACCAACCTAGATCAGACCTAAACCGAGTCTATTCTGTCCCCCTAAGTCCTAATCAGACCTAAGCCAACCCAATATTGATTTACCTACCCCTGATCAGACTTGAATTAACCTAATCAGATCTAAACTAAGTCTAAACCGACCTAATTAAATCTGATCAGACCTTATCTAGCCTAATACCGACTTCTCACTCACCTAGTTCAGCCAAATCCTCTTATTCAGGCCTAACCGGACAGAATTTCTGATCAGACCTTATCTAGCCTAATACCGACTTCTCACTCACCTAGTTCAGCCAAATCCTCTTATTCAGGCCTAACCGGACAGAATTTCCGGACTCTATGACTGAGGATAGGTAACCAAAGTCTACCGCAGATCTAATCTGCCTTTACCTAGGATAGATCGACCTATACAGATCCTAAATACCCTATACCAGACAGAATGCCCTAAGAACCGGACTCTATCTAACCCAATCGAACCAATCAGACCTAAAACCAACCAATTTAAGTCCTAATCAGACACTCCTGACCCTAAACCGACCAATCTAGACCTGTTCTAATCGATACAGACCCTAAACCAGACAAACCCAGCCCTAATCAGACAAATCAGACCTAATCAGACCTAAAACCGGCCCAATCCCGATCTAAATTGACCTAAACCGGACTCTATTGTCCTAAACCGGTCCTAGATTGACCTAAACCGGTCTGGGTTATCCCGAACCGGACCTAAATTGACTCGAACCGGTCTGAACCGGTCCAATTGACCCCAAACCGGACCTGAACCGGTCCAATTGACCTGAACCGATCCGGTTTACCTAACCCGGTCAACTGTTGACCAGAAATTTGGTCAACGTTTGACCTAACCCGACTAAACCGGTCCGATTTTAAATCGAACCCGGTTCAATTATACAATTTCGGTTGAACCGGCTAAACCGGATCAGAACCGAAAAAACCCTAATTCGGAACGCGGAAGCCGCCGAGTTAACCCGAGCCAACTCGGACGTTGACTCAACCCCGAAGACGACTCAGTCGCGACTCGAACGAGTCACGGCCAAGACTCACCGGGAAATACCGGTTTTCACCGGTTTCTCCCTCCCCAACCCTAGATCTAACACAAGACGCAACCGACTTACCTCTGCGGACTCAAACTCGTCCGATTTCTTCGACCCGAGTTAGCTCCGAGAGAAATCTTGTCTTCCTCACCTCCGATCTGTTCGCCACCGGCTGATTCACCGCCGATTCAACCTTCTGAGCTTCACTTTTCCTGTTTCGCAACCTGAAACACCTAAAAGAACCGTCAGAACGCTCAGATCGGAACTTACCAGATTCAACCTTACCTGGATAACCGAGACACCGCCGAGATCCACCGGAAAAACGCTTCGACCAGGGCCTCTGATACCACTTGTAGAGGATTTGCCCTCCGATTCCTCACAGAACACTCCGATCTCAACCCCTCGTGTGCAAGAAAAGAGAGAGATGCGAGACAGAGTTACGAGTTCAGTACCGAGTCCTAACACTCGGTACCTACGTCTCGGGAAGAGGAAACAGCGTTTGTCGCTAGGGTTACAGCCGGAAAACACACCGGAAACTGATCGGAATCAGTTTCTCAACACAGAGCAAGAGAGAGAGAACCTAGAGCCACACAACCGAAGAATCCAGAAAAAGTTACACGGAAATGAGAACCCCTTAGGGTTTCATAACGCGTCTCCTCCAAAATGACGATGCTGCCCCTCCGGCCTGTTGGAAGCCTCCCTCTCCATCCAAGGCTTTTGAGAGCCTCTAGTTCACACCAAGGTTTTTACTGAAGACGTGTCAACAATATGGTTATATATATATATATATGAATGGATTATATTTTACATATATTCAGACCAAAATCATAACATATAACGGGAGATATGAAGTGAACATGCGAGAGTAAAATAATACGAGAAATAAAGACCAAGCAACAGGTTGCTTATGGAAATAAAAAAAGAAAGAGGTATATATAATTAATAATTTAAGATTATGGCCGTTGGGATTATAAAAATTTAAAAAGACAGCGAAAGTGGTCGTGACGTGGCACGGTTGACTTTTAAGATTATACCACACCACAATGCTTAAGTTTCTTCCTAACTAAATTCATTAAACCCACATGTAATTGTTAAATCGCTTATTTTTA